AGAAGGTAGGGCCTTGAAGGAAAACCAGAGAATCCGGGAGGCAGAAGTGAAGAAGGAGAACATTCCAGGCATGGTGGAAAGGTATGAGTGTTACATGCAAGAAAGAATAAGGAAGTCATGAGTGGATCATAGGACCTGGAAGAAGTAACTACTGCTGAGAGGTCATGAAAGATGGAGGTGACCAAAGTCTGTGGAGTGCCCAAATGAAATGGAGTCCGCTTTATGAGCTGTTATTTTTCTTGGGAGGTAGAAGGAGGAAGGGAAGGAATAGAAACATCAGGTTCAAGTAAATACTAGGGTCTCAGCAGAACTCCAGCCAGGTCAGCTGTGGTATAATCCCAAGAGGAGCCAAATGAACCAACGTAGACAGATTAGAAAAAATGGGACTGAGAGTGGTTTGGGCCAAGAGATGTGCAATAAGATTAACTATAAAGTTGGGTCACTGCTGGCAGAAATGTTCCAGCAGCTCATGGGATCTTTTGATGAGGCATAAGGGTGCAGTCATCCCACCCATCGGATGCCTCAGAGGAGCCATGGTTCATTAGCCCTGGCAACCAAGACAGGTGGTAACGCATAGCATGGGGCTGAGGCTGGGAACTTGGCAGCTGTGGTCAGGACAGGTGCATGGAGCCTGTTGGGATTCTCAAGCAGCAAGAAGTTCAGGCAGCCACAAAATCCTCAAGTGTTTCTTCCCAGCCCAGACTCTGAGGGCCTGAGTTGTCTTTTTTTTTTCCCTCCCCTCCCCGTTTGACAGTTTGCAGTGCCTAACTTACCAGTTTCTGTGGTTAAGTTTGATGAATATAACACAAGAAGAAGAAGCCAATGACCTGCAGGAACCTGCAGAGAACAAACTTAGTGTATGACTTTCTTCATAGATTGCTCCCTATTCAATCAATTCATTGATATTAACTTGTATTAAGGAAAGGAAAAAGGCCTGCCTTTTGTAGAGCATCATTATTTGTCTTATGCTACTGATTAAATGAGGTGAAATTTTGGACGTGTTACAGAGCAGAACTTTAGCAATTGAGGGTTAATTTGAGAAGTCTTATTTACTATTAAGAGCATGAGACAGCAGAAATCCAGTCATGTCTGACTGTGGCAGAAGAACAGGTTACCTGGTGATGGATTCCAAAAGGACCAGGAAGAAAATTTAGGGTGTAGAAGGTGGCAGAAAGGGAGTCCAGCTTGGTATCAAGGCAACTAGACAACTAGAACCCAGTAGGGTAGGTATGCTGGAAGGAGACAGTGGTCAAGAAATTTGAATCAAAAAATGATATAAAACCAGGGCAACTGTAACAATCTTTACTGAGTAGAAATATTTCTCACTAAGTCTGTGTATTGTGGCCACTGGACCCTTTAGGGCTAGAAGGAAACCAGAGGCTGCCATTTTTCTCTCTCTGGCCTACAATGCCATAACCCTCGAGGCAGTTGCTGATACCATATAGAATTCAATATTAGATATTCTGGACGTATGGGGGAGGCAATGAGTTTAGTGCTATCAGAAAATCAGGACAAAAATGGCTAACTCCTTTGTGCTCCCCTAAATCTTGATAAGCAAAGCTCCTAGAGGGTAATTTTCAGGGAGTGGCCAGGGGGTGTGATAGTTTTTGAAAGAAACTGAAATCAGTTTTCTCAGTCTAACTTAAAGAAAAGATTAAATTCAAAGTGATAGCTGAAATAGCAATATAGCAGGTAAAAAGAGCCTTTTAATGACAAAAGAGTTATCTGGCTGGCTGGGTATTTGAATCACAAAAGAACTGAAATGGCCTCTGGAACTATGACTCAGAACCAGAAGATGCCATCAAAAAGGAATAAGAATATAGTAGCTTATCCTAGACACTACTAGATGGCAGTTGAATGAACAGAATAGACTAGCAGAGGACCTCAGCAGTATACTACAGCAGAGAAAGCAGCTTGTAGTCTAATGACATTACTAGGATAGCCAATGACATTAATGGTTCTGTGGGGAAGTAAGCAGTGGCATTGGATATGGAGAGTGACTCCAAGAGTGTACCACCTTCTATCAGCATGTGTTGCCCTAGTGAGATATACTCCTTAGCTGTAAGTTTTCTCTATGTATGTACTGACTTTGTCAAATGTATTGACCTGGTCAAATATATTCCCTTTGCATGTATCCTTTCCATATGCATTCCCTGGCTGTGTGTGTTTTCTGTGTATGCTCTCCTTCCTGTTAGTGATTTGGTAAGTTTTTGGAGAGTATAGTCTTATCCCATTGGGAGAAATTTTCCTTGTCATTTATTTTTTCAGGTTATTGAATTAAATTGCTTTTGCTTTGATTAGCTGTGATTAGCTTGTATAACCATCAAATGATGTTATCCAGCAAGTTTAGCTATACAGACAATCCACCCTTTGGTATTCTAAGGGTTTGTCCCAGAGCACAGCCAGTTTTCTCATACCAGAACTTCCTCTTCCCGCCATTCAGATTAGAGGATATGATATTCCTGTGGTTCACACCTCTACTCAGTCCTTCATACCAGAAGGCAGAAGTTTCATTGAAATACCACCTGAACTCTGCCTATTCATGACTCAATAACTTAGATGTAAGTAGATTCAAGTCACATGGTTTGCCTATCTCTGCTATTTGGGAACTTACAAGAGTTATTAATAAAAGTCCAAACCACAAATTCTCTTTCTCAAAAAAAAAAATATCCCAGCATTTGGACTGAGGTTCTAACCTCTGCCCTCTTTAGTTCTGTGTATTCCGAACTATTCACTGTCCTCCTCCATTGAAATCCTCCATTCATAATTAACATGCAGAAATGAACTACAGGAAAGTTAGGATCAATCACAGTTTTCTATTAAGAAAATAAAGAATTAGAAATAATTAGAAATTAGAAATAACTTAGAGAAATGGACAAATCATGTAGAAATTCTTACTGACTGCAGGTATAGAGAAATGGGAAAGAGATTAAACTTGCTCTACCTTTTCATTGATTTCAAGGGAGTGACAACTGTCAGTAGATTCCAGCCACTACCATCAGAATTTTTTCCCCTGATGAGCAGAGGTCATGTCCAAAGGAACTAAAACCACACTATCTGCATCACAAAATGCCTTTCAAGGGGACCATATCTGAGGAGGGCCTTCTTACTGTTGCATTGACTTGTTTGGAGAGTTGGAAATCTAGCAATCAGCCTCCTTTACTCCCATCTACTTATGCAATTTCTAGCTAATACCAAATACATGAAAAATTGCCGCTATACACAAGAAAATAGTTTGAAAGTGTCTCTTTAAATTCTTGATAGTAACATTATTTTGCTAATGTTTTAATATAAAATAAAAATCTTAGTTACATAGAACTCTGCTAAATCAGAACCCTCAAATAACGAGTACTTTTACAAGGGTCTGTCTAAATTGAAAGCAGAGATAGCTGGCAATATCAAAAAGACCTGAAGCTGATAGAATTTTCATTTTATCCATTCATACAGAAGACAGTGTGGAGGGAACTTCACTGTGAGGCAGTGTGGTATAATGGGAAGAGCACTGGCCTTGGAGTCAAACTGAGACCTGGTTCTTCCCACTGTCGCTTCTTAACTGTGTGACCCTAGGCAAGTCACTTAACCAACTGGGGTTCACTTTCCCTATCTGTAAAATGGGATCCATAGGATCAAAGAGAGAAGGGAAAGTAAACCAATGTGGAGATACTTGGGATGAGTGAAAAAAATTCTATTGTACACTGAAGAGAGTTTGTGGTGAGTCTGTTGAAGAGAATTTCAGCTAACCAGAATCATCTAGGTGGCCATAAGCATCTGCATGCAAGTACAAAAGCAGTCTCCATGAGCCTATCTAAAAGAAAATAAAGCCTGGCTTTTAGCACTGAGGCTTAATAGAGGGTTTAACATTTAAGATTAATTTTGTGTCAGTGTACACTGCTTGAGAAACCAAATGAAGATACTGGGCCTATGATTTTATAGAGTTTATGAAACCATTCGCAAAAATTGGTTAAACTACTGTTTTAAAGTGTAATTGTAAGACTAATGCACAAGAATGGGCATAAACTGATTAGGTGATATGTGTATTTGTGCACATGTGGGCAGAACAACCAAAATATTAAGTATTAAAGCACTATGTGAAAAATGTTTTAAAATTTACTTTTTGCCCCCCTCAAAGCTTTGCCTTAAAGTTTCATGTATATCTTGTCAACTAAAGTTGAAAACAGTAGGGAAAAGATCATTTTTAGAAATAGAAAGAACTCTAAAGGTCATCTAATCCATCCCTTTTATTTTCCAAAGGAAGAAAATGATGCCTCAAGAGATGAATGCCCTTTGTGGTATGTAGCTCACAGGACTGTTACTAGTACACAGAGAGACAAACTTTCCCCTCTTCCTAACTTCCCAATTTCTGTCTAAGGTGTCCCCATCCTTGGCTCTTCTCTCTTTCTCACCCCAGTTGCCTAGTCTTGTTGGTTTTAGCTCCATGATAATATATCTGGCACCCATCCCATCCATTCCACTAGCACAGGCATCATCCAAGCCCCTGTCATCTCTTGGACTATTGCAGTAGTCTCTTTCCTGCTCTCCCTATCACAAGACTGTCTCTTTTATTTATCCTCCAGACAACTACCAAGGTGATATCCTCAGACACGATTCTGATGATGTCACTTCTCTGTTCAAAACATTCCAATGGCTTCCAGTCCCCTCTAGAACAAAATATGAACTCTTCTGTTTGGCCCTCAAAACCTTTCAAAGCCTGGCTCTCATGTACTGTTCAAGGCACTCATTTCTTTCCTTCCCCCCTTTATTGTACTATGGAGCCAACCTGTTCTTACTGATGTTCCTTGAATAAGCATACCTCGGAGATAATGCAAATTTGATTCTAGACCACTGCAATAAAGTGATCACAATACAAGGAGTCACAGTAAATTTTTTGTTTCCCAGTGCATATAAAAATTATGTTTATACTATACTGCAGCCTATTAAGTGTGCAATAGTGTTATATAAAAAAAAACCCAATGTGCAGACTTTAATGAATAAATACTAACCATCAGCTGAGTCTCTAGTGAGGGTGGAGGGTCTTGCCTCGATGCTGAAGGCCGCTGACTGATCAGGGTGGTGGTTGCTGAAGGTTGGAGAGGCTCTGGCAATTTCTTAAAATAAGACAACAATAAAATTTGCAACATTGACCAACTCTTCCTTTACTTCAGCATTTAGAGGCCTATGTAGGATTATTAATTGGCTTAATTTCAATATTGTGTCTCAGAGAATGGGGAGGCCAGAGGAGAGGGAGAGAGACAGAAACTGCTGGTTGATGGAGCAGCCAGAACACACACATTTATTAAGTTCTTCATCTTATGTGGTGCCCCAAAACAATTACAATAGTAACATCAAAGATCACTGATCACAGAACACCGTAACAGATACAATAGTAATGAAGAAATTTGAAATATTGTGAGAATTACCAAAATGTGACATAGAGATGTGATGAAAGCACATGCTGTTGGAAAAACAGTGCCACAAACCTTCCATTTATAAAAGCCACGTTGTCTGTGAAGCCCAATAAAATGAAGTATGCTCCCTCCCATCTCTATTCTTTTATACAATCTGTTGCCTCTGCCTACAATGCTTTCCTAACTCTTCCCTGCCCCGCAGAATCCTTAGGTTCCTTAGAAACTCAGCTCAAGCATCATCTCCTACAGTCAATTCTGATCCACTTCCCCAAATGCTATTGATCTCTCTCCTAAAAGTACTGTATATATACATATACACACACATGTAAACATATAAGCATATACACGCATATATAGTATATATACATATATATCATACATATACATACTATATACATATATAGTAGAGAGAAAAAAAGAGAAAGTATATTTAATTTTTTTTGTAAATGCAATTTTCCTTGAAAAGAACATAAGCTCCTTGGGACTGGGGGGTATTTTTTTGTTTGTTTGTTTCATGTCCACTTTGCACATGCTTGTTGAATGAATAATAAATGATAATGGGTATAGAGCATTTTGCAAACCTTTAAGTTTTACATCAGCTATTATCAACATTAGGTCATCTTGGATCAATCGACAAATATTTCTTAAGGACCTGCTATGTGCCTGGCACTGGGCTAGGTACTAGAGGTTAAAAGACAAAATAAAAGAAACAACTCCTGCCCTCAAGGAGCTGATAATCTATCAGAGGAGACATGCATATAGGCTCAAGACTGGACCTGTGAATTAACAGGTATAAGGAACTCCCAGGCAGGGAATCTCCTTCTATGAGTGTAAGTCAGCATTTCCCTGTAAAATGATTTATGAATGAATGAAAATCATTTATTGAGCACTTAGTATGTGCTAAACACTGAGATACAAATTGAAAAAGTTCTCAAGGAGCTCATACTCTGGGGGAGGCAACACATAAAAGAAAGACTGGAAACAGAGAAAACCCAAGATGCCCTAAGGGTTCAGCAGATAGCTGATGGCTAGCAAGACCCAGAGGTCCCCAGGCTATATTCAAGTGACAGTGTTAGGGGGTTTGTAAAGTATAGAGGGAGGACAGATGCTAAGGCCTCACTTGAAGAAATAAGAGTTGATGACTCCTGTCTCATTCAAGCTCTGTCAGCAGTCAGGCAGCCCAGATGGATTGTGGGTTGTCCTGGATGGAGAAAGGTAAGGAAAGGAGGCAAGGTGCTCTGGTGCTGGATCTTCACAGGGGAATGATGATAAATCATTTAACAACCAGTTCTTTGCAGGGAAAAATACCCATTACACACTTTTAAGTTTAATCTGCAATAATAACATTTTCTCCATCACTTTCCTAAGTCTAGATGATCATTAAAAAAGTAAATGAAGGGGAAGCTAGGTGGTGCAGTGGATAGAGCTCTGGCCTTAGAGTCAGGAGGACCTGAGTTCAAAACCAGCCTCAGATACTTGATGCTAGCTGTGTGACTCTGGACAAGTCACTTAACCCTTATTGCCTCACACCCCCCCCAAAAAAAAATAGAAAAAAAGGAAATCAAACCCTAATTTGTAGTATTTGCTGATTTCTGAGGTTTAAATGCTTATGCTGATATTTTAACAATCTGTCCAGTACAAGCTGGCTCAAGCACACCCCTCATCTTCTCCTTATACCACCCAGCTGTACTGGATGGGTTATAGTCTTAGAAAGTCATCAAGTACAATGAGAAATTAAATGATTTATCCAAAGTCACAAAACCAGTACATGTCAGAGGTGGACCTTGAAGCCAGGAGATATGCTTCCAAGGCTACCTCTTTATCTACTATGCCACACTTTGCCTCTCTATGTACTTATACATGAATATACATACATACATACATACACACACACACACACACACACACACACACACACATATATATATATATATATACGTCTATAAATGTAAACAAAATTTTACTGAAGAAATACATGAATATTTTGACAGGAAGGCATTAAACAGCTGAAGGGACAGGAAAGGCTTCATACAGAAGATGACACTGGAGCAGAGATTTGCAGGAAACTAAGGATTCCTAACAGTCAGAGATGAGGAGGGACCATATTCCAGGCATGAGGGACAGCCTATGCAAAGACATGGAGTTGGGAGATGGACTATTGTGTGTGAGGATTGGTCAGAAGACCTGATTGAAGACCTTGCATGTATTAATTATAATCACCAAAGTGATTACCAGCCACCAAAGCTTAGAATTTCAGATCTAGATGGTATTGCATCTAATTTCTATTCCACTACAAATGTGAAAATCTACACTATAGCAAGGAAATCTGATCATAAACTCAAGGCTTACAGATCATCTGGTCCAGTCTTCTCATATTACAGATAATGAAACTGCCAGAGAAGTAACTTGCCCAAAGTTACAGATGGAGGCAGAGCCAACATTAGAACCCATGTCTCAGCATCATGATTATCACCAACGATCATTTACTGGATGGCTTTGTGGTCTCCTGACTCCCAATCCAGTTCTCTGTATGCTAATCTCTAATGTATCCTCTACTCTGTCCTTTTTCACTCTTCACTTAAAATTCAGAAAAATACCAAAGAGATCAGTGAACTCAAAGCCAACTGTACCAAATGCATGGGAGACACCAAGCTGTTCAGTGTAAAGTCATTCCTGTGAGATAATTGCCTAACTTACTGATCTTGCTCTTTAAAAAATTCCAACTCTTTAAAACAATAAATATTACTAGAATTTGTTATATGTTAAGAATCTTAGACTCTGGGTGGTAGACACAAGAATTCATGAAAAATCCTGTCTTTACTAATTGGGAAAAAACTACCTCCCTGCTCCATGAAGTTAGAGAGACTTGGGGTCTCATTTTGGGATCTCAACTAGAAAGACTTAATTCAATGGGGAGATACCGCCATCTTGAGGGCCATTCTGTCACTGCTGACAAAGATCATTGTTGCGTTTTCACAACTACAATGAGGTACAAATGGGTTTTAACCCTCAAGAAGCTGGGACATTTGGGTGTCTGAGCCCTTAATCCTCCAAGCATTTTGGCTAGCCAAATGTTTCCAGGATGTGTAAGGAAGGATTTTCAATTTAACTATCATCACGTAATTTAAAAAGGATGACTCAAAACCATCTATATCTAAAGCTTCGTGAGCAAATTGAGACATTAAATGTGATGGTGCTGCTCAATCAATTTTGTACCCATCAAACTGTGCACCTCTGCACTTATTATACCTCATATAGTAGGTGCTGTCTCCCTCCTCTGGGAGTAATATATCCATATGTCCCTTAAAGTTTCTGACCACATATGCTATATTCACAATGGAAAGAGCCTTAGAGATCATCTAGTCCAAAATTCTTATTGAACAGATGAGAAAATTAAGGCCTAGGAGGGTGGGAAGGTAAGTTAGTCCGGTCATATAGCAAGATCTCGTATCTTTCTAGAATGGGGTAAGCCAGAGCACTCATAGCCAATCAAACGACTCGGTTCAGCTCCATTCCTGCTTTAATAGCCAGAGCAGGTGGAAGGTAGTGTTAATTACTCCCATTACATTTCATGTGGCTTACTTAATCTCCCTAGGGTTTACTTTCTTTAACTGTCAAATGTATGAGTTAGACCAGGTGATCTGTTAATGCCATTTCCTTCACCAAGAATCTCCTCTTCTCTCCTTCTGTCTGTGGAAATTCCATCTATCCTTCAAAGCACATTTTAAATTCCACCTGTTCAGTGAAGCCTTCTATCACTCTTAGAAGTGATCCATCCTTCCTCAGACTTTGAAGAGCACTCTGTTTGGACTTCTCTTACAGTTTCATTGTGATCCACTTTGTATTAAAGTTAGGGTTTATAGGATTCCAATAGATTGAAAACCCCTTGAGGACAAAGTATTCTACCCCATGGTAGAGGTTTAACAAAGATTTGTTGAATTAGACAGGAATGTACCAAAAACATAAAAACAAAATAGAAAATACCTTTCCTCAAGGGGCTTATGTTCTCATCTCCACCTTTCAGATTTCCTGTTTTCCTTTAAGACTCACATGGGTACCATCTCCCATTTAATATCCTTAACTCTGCCCCCCAACCTCATCTAATCTTTCTTTCCTGAAATATTCCTATTTTCCCAATCTACAAAATCTTTATGAAAATAGCCAATACATGTATCAAGGATATTATTATTGAAGGTATGAAGAGGGAGCATTCTGGATTTCCAAACAATATTCTACAATACAGCACATCTTTACGGTCACACAGCTGATAGAAAGGTACAGAAAATATTCAATCCTAGTGTGCTTATTGGTTAGTGACTATTTCTAAAAAAAATTTATTTGTAGGGTAAAATATTGCCTTAAAGGTCCTCCTCCAAAAAGGTGTCTCTCATTGATATATAAAAATGATAGAAGATTTCTGGAAAGATGTGATAACAAAAATAATTTTTCTCAATAGCCTTATGATTACTAATATTAAGTAAGGTATAAAACACTGATATGTATGCTCACCAAAAGCATTTGTCATTGTCTTAGGGAAGATTTAGAAGAGAATGCAAATAGGAGGGATGTCCTGTAGATGGTGAAGCCCTCTAAGTGCTCCTATTTGCAAATCATATGTGATGATTGCATTAAGCCCAGGGACATCACAGAACATACAGTAGGCACTCACCAAAGGCTAAATTAAAA